GGAGGCGGACGGGCCTCCCGGCGCCGAGCCTGGTCCTGTGGGCCGGGCGTTCACCCCCTGGAGTCTTCTCATCCCCAGCGAAGGCCTGGCGTCCCCAAGGGCACCCTCCTTGACGTTATTGTTGTAGCCGCGACCATATTGTTTCCGGCGCTTTTGGGTCAGTTTGTCCCTCCAGGGCCCTCTGGGGCGACGGGTCGGAGGAGCCGAGAGGGGAAACTGAGGCCCAGGGAAACGAAAGGGCTTGCCCTGAAGGTTACTGGGTGCGTTTGTGTCCCTTGACCATGTTGGACCTTGCAACGGGTGGGGAAACTGAGGCCCGAGCTCGCACGAGCTCGGGGACCGGGACCGATGCCTCTGCGGGTCGGGGCAAGCCCGGGTAAGAGGCCCAGATGGTGGGGATGGCCAGGAGGCTGGGACTCCCAAGTTCTTGCTACTGCCTGATCAGCACCGTGACTTTCTCCTCCTTGTACCTTGGAACGGGGTCTTTGGATCCCACAACAAGCCTTCCCGAAGCGTGGGAGGGTGAACCAAGGAAGACCAGACTGCTCCTCTCCCTTGCTGGACTCTGCATTACATAACGCTTTGGCAGCGCTTGGCATTACGCTTTGGCACATAGTAGGTGCTCACTAAATAATGTGAACGAATGAAGGGCTAGAATGGACACCAGTCCAGTTTCTCAATCTCAGCAGTGTTGATATTTGTTGCTGTCCTGGGCACGGCACTGCAGGGTGCTGAGCATCATCCCTGGTCTCCGCCTTTTGCAGGCCAGTAACAGCCCCTCTCCCCAACTCTTAGTAACAACCAAAAATACCATTGGCCTGTGTTCCCTATGCAGCAGATTCCTCCTTGGTTGAAAATCGTGGCTGTAGTTCCTTCTAGCCTTTGGGATTTCACGGAGACATGAAATTAATATAAAGTTGGTACTGTCCTGGAACTGTGATGTTTTAAGTCAGGATGTTTAACTGTATTTTATTTTATTTATTTATTTTGAGACAGTCTTGCTCTGTTGCCCAGGCTGGAGTGCAGTGGCAGGATCCCAGCTCACTGCAACCTCTGCCTCCCTGATTCAAGTGATTCTTCTGCCTCAGTCTCCTGAGTAGCTGGGATTACAGGCTTGCACCACCATGCCTGGCTATTTTTTTATTTTTCAGTAGAGACGGGGTTTCACCATGTTGGGCAGACTGGTCTCGAACTCCTGACCTCAAGTGATCCACCCGCCTCGGCCACCCAAAGTGCTGGGATTACCGGTGTGAACCACCATGCCTGGCCAGGATATTTAATTCAAAAAAAAAAAAAAATTGCTACTCGCTAGGACCATACTATCATGAAAGGAAAGTATATTTTAGTGCCAAATAAAATTAGGATGTAATCGCAGAATAAAGAGCAGTTAGTAACTTTATACACACATATGTGTTAATTGTGTGTATCTTTGGATCCCTGGATTGGGAGTGTCCGTTTTATATACAGGATTTTTTAATGAGGGGGGTCCTGTTTTTAGTGAGGTTGTTTCTGTTCCACTTGCATCAAAGCTAGTGACTCAAAACCACACAAATAGATCTTTGTGATTGTCCTGAAAATAAAGTTAAGTGACTAAAAATCATATCCTTCAGCTGGGTGTAGAAATCCATGTCTTTTGGTAACTGGAAACTTGAGAATGATATTCTCTGAAGTGACTAGAAAGGAAACGAATTTTCTCAGTACCTTTTCTTATTCGCTAAGCTTGAGGCAGAGGGTGGGGTGGTTTCATGTATGGATGATGAAGTTTTTTAGGAAGCTCCAGTCTGCTTTTAAAAAATACTCATATAACGCTTATAAAACATACGTAGATTAACCAAAATAACTAGGTTTTTCCAAGCCAGATCTCCTGGTAAGTGTGAACTTCCTAAACTTACTCAGTTTAAGGTATTTATCTAAAGACTCGGTTCTATTTATGATCACTTCGGCATCTGCTTTGATATTATTAGATGCTTTTCTTGAGTTTTTTTTGCAGGAAAATGTTCTGTCTTATCATCTCTTGATAGCACTTCAGCTCCTGCCTGGCATGCTCCAGGTGCTTTAAATTGTGGTACCTTCATGAATTCTCTTTAAAAAGGAAAGGATCCCTTTTCTAATTTTACAAATTTGGTGGTGGTGTGGGGGCTTGGGTTGGAGGAGGATGTTTGGGGATCATGTGAATGAAATAGGTAATCCGATGTTTTCTCTCATCCCTACTTTTACTCATTCCACTTTCATTTCATGAAACAGTTCCTGTTTCTCTCTTAGCTGGCTTTCTGATGTATTCCAGACCCTAACCAGGTACCATAGGTGCAGCATGGAACAAATCTTTCTGCTATCATAGAGTTGGCATTTTGTTTAGGGAGAGACATAATAAACACGAAAGTTTCAGATTAAATGCCACAAAGAAAATAAAACAAGACATGACAATGTCTAGGGTAGGATTTCTCAAACTATTAACATTTTGAGGCCAGGAGCTGTGGCCAGCAGTTTGGGAGGCCGAGGCGGGCAGATCACGAGGTCAGGAGTTCGAGACCATTCTGGCTAACATGGTGAAACCCCGTCTCTGCTACAAATACAAAAATTGGCTGGGAGTGGTGGCACGCGCCTATAGTCCCAGCTACTTGGGAGGGTGAGGCAGGAGAATCACTTGAATCGGGGAGGTGGAGGTTGCATTGAGCTGAGATCGTACCATTGCACTCCAGTCTCAGCGACAGAGCAAGACTCTGTCTCAAAAAAAAAATTTTTTTTTGGGCCATATAATTCTTCATTGTGGCGTGCTGTGCATTGCATTGTGGGATATTTAGCAGAATCCCTGGCCTCTACCCACTGGATGTGAAAAGCATCCCTTCGAGCCCTCCCCACATCATGACAACCAAAAGCATCTCTAGACTGTGCCAAATGGCCCCCGAGGGCAGAGGGGTCAGAATTGCCTCCACCTTGTACATAATTGGCTCTACATATGTGTTTGCTAACTTGATTATTTGCAACATTTAACAATTTACCCTTTGACACTTTTATTCGCAGCCATGGATTGCAAAGATAGACCAACTTTTCCAGTTAAGAAGTTAATACAAGGTAATTATTTGGAAATGGGTTAAAGAGTTGTTCCTAGTTTATAGTCTTCCTTGTCTCTTGTTGGAGACCTCAGTGGAAGCGTGGAGCTAGAAGGGAGAGAAACAGTCCCTCTTCAGACTAGGAAGCTGGGAAAATGCTTTTCACACAGTAATCTCTGGTGGGATTCCCACAAGTAAACCCCGAGGCCTCCACTCACCCACAATTGGCATTTTGTAACCTGCAGCTGGGGAGCTGTCCTGTGTATTGTAGGGAGCTTAGCAGCAGCCCTGGCGTCTTCCCACTGGATGCCAGTAAGTGCATCCTCCAAGTTGTAACAACCAAAAATATCTCCATACGTGGCTGATGTCCCCTGGGAGGTAGAACTGCCCCCGTGGAAAACCACTGTTGTCCTGGAAGATAAATGTTCCCAAATCCTTCTGTGTAAAATGGGGAGTGCATTTACCCTTAGGCCACATGAGTGGTCGGATTTTTTTTTTTTTTTTTTTTTTTTTTTTTTTTTTTGAGACGGAGTCTCACTCTTGTCAGGCTGGAGTGCAGTGATGCCATCTCGGCTCACTGTAACGTCTGCCTCCCGGGTTCAAGCAAATTCTCTTGCCTCAGCCTCCCAAGTAGCTGGGATTACAGGCGTGTGCCACCACACCCAGCTAATTTTTGTATTTTTAGTAAAGACAGGGTTTCAGCATGTTGGCCAGGATGGTCTCGATCTCCTGACCTTGTGATCCCCCTGCCTTGGCCTTTCAAAGTGCTAGGATTACAGATGTGAGCCACCGTGCCCAGCCCAGATTGTATTTTTAGAAACTACAGTTTTGGGTTTTTCAAACTTGGGCTGGGTGCAGTGGGTGCATACCTGTAAAACCAGCTATTTGAGTGGCTGGGATGGGAGGATTGCTTGAGCCCGGAATTTCAAGGCTGCAGTGAGCTATAATCACACCACTGCACTTCAGCCTGGATCACAGGAAGACTCTGTCTCTTAAAAGAAAAAAAGGGAGAAGCCAGACACGGTGGCTCACACCTATAATTCTAGCACTTTGGGAGGCTAAGGTGGGCAGATTGAGCTCAGGAGTTTGAGACCAGCCTAGCCAACATAGTGAAACCCCGTCTCTATTAAAATACAAAATAGCTGGGCATGGTGGGGGGCACCTGTAATCCCAGCTACTTGGGAGGCCGAGGCAAGAGAATTGCTTGAACGCGGGAGGAAGAGGTTGCAGTGAGCCAAGGGTGTACCATTACACTCCAGCCTGGTGACAGAGTGAGACTGTCTCAAAACAAACAACCCCCCCCCCAAAAAAAACCAGGTTTTTATTTGGTCTATTACATGATGAAATAGTTAATAAAAAGATGAATTGGCATGGAAGTAAGTGAACGTAGGTTCCTTGGGATGTTCACTCTCTGAAGTGTTTCTGCGTCCCTCCTAACGAGCCCGAATCCTGGCAGGCTCTGGGAGAACAGTCTGATTGATGAGAAAAGCCTAACAGAGCCTGGGGTGCTGAGGCCAGGAAAAAAAACAAAACAAAACAAAAAACCCTGTCCACAAATATGTCTGTGTATTTTCTACTTGAGAACCAGATGCAGTTATCATCAAATGAGATTTTCACCCGTTATAAATAAATTTGGAATATGAACTGGATCTGAAATCAAAAAATGTCTCTTGAAATTCTGGCAGTAGCTCTGCTAAAAGACTTGTCAGGATTTTGTTTTTGTTTTTTTTGAGACGGAGCCTCGCTCTGTCACCCAGGCTGGAGTGCAGTGGCCGGATCTCAGCTCACTGCAAGCTCCGCCTCCTGGGTTTACACCATTCTCCTGCCTCAGCCTCCTGAGTAGCTGGGACTATAGGCGCCCGCCACCTCGCCCGGCTAGTTTTTGTATTTTTTAGTAGAGACAGGGTTTCACCGTGTTAGCCAGGATGGTCTCGATCTCCTGACCTCGTGATCCACCTGTCTCGGCCTCACCAAAGTGCTGGGATTACAGGCTTGAGCCACCGTGCCCGGCCAGGATTTTGGTTTTTTTAAATTAGGATGTTGAAGTGAGGCATGGTGACTCACGCCTGTAATCCCAGCACCTGGGTTCAAGCTGTTCTCCTGCCTCAGCTTCTCAAGTAGCTGGGATTACAGGCACGTACCACTACACCCAGCTATTCTGTACTTTTAGTAGAGACGGGGTTTCACCGTTTTGGTCTGTCTGGTCTCAAACTCCTGACCTTGTGATCTGCCTGCCTTGGCCTCCTAAAGTGCTGGGATTACAGGTGTGAGCCACCGCCCAGATAGACCCTTTTTAAACTTTAAAATTATCCCCCACGCCCGTGTCCCAACAAGTCAATAATTTTCAAGCTCATGAGTGGTTGTAACTTTAAACGTTCACTAAAGATGGCTTTCTCTTTGTTTCAGCCCGTCTGCCGTTTAAGCGCCTGAATCTTGTCCCAAAGGGGAAAGACGATGACATGTCAGATGATCAGGTTACTTCTGTGCAGAGTAAAAGCCCCGATTTGGAGGCCTCTTTGGACACCTTGAAAAACGACTGTCCTATGGGTTCTGACATAGACTTTAGACCAAAACTTGTCAACGGGAAGGGTCCCTTAGATAACTTTTTAGGAAACAGAGTCGAAACCAGTGTTGGCCAGAGCACAGTCATCATTGATTTGACAGAGGACTCAAATGAGCAGCCAGACAGTCTTGTGGACCACAATAAACTAAGTTCTGAAGCTTCTCCCTCCAGGGAAGCAGTAAATGGCAACCGAGAAGACACTAGGGATCAGCAGGGGTCGTTGAAGGCCAATCAGAACGACAAGTTGGCATTTCCTGGAGAGACCCTTTCAAACATTCCTTACAAAACAGAGGAGGAGGGTGTTGGCTGTGGAGGTGCAGGGAGGAGAGGTGACTCCCAGGAATGTTCACCACAGAGCTGCCCGGAGCTGACGAGTGGTCTGAGACTGTGCTCCAGAAAGGAGCAGGACAGTTGGAGTGAAGCTGGGGGCATCCTGTTCAGAGGGAAGGTGCCCATGGTGGTCTTGCAGGACATCTTGGCTGTGAGACTGCCCCAAACCAAGTCCCCTCCAGCCACACCCCAAGGCAAGGACATGACCCCTGAGAGCGGGACGCTGGAATCTTGCCCTGAAGAAGACTCTGTACTCAGCCATTCGTCCCTGAGCTCTCCCTCTTCCACCAGCTCTCCCGAGGGGCCGCCTGCTCCCACAAAGCGACACAGCAGCACCAGTCCCTTCCCCACCTCCACGCCCGTCCGCAGAGTGAGTATCTCCCATGGAGTCCCTACACATCAGTGCTCATGGATCTCAGAGCACGCTGTTAGCCTCCACCGGGTCACCCAGCTGGTCTGTGGCAGAGTGAGCGGGGCCACAGGCTGGGTCCTGGGACTCGACACGGAGTTCTTGTATCAAAACTCAGTGTTCGGTTTTGCATTCGTTGTGATGCGCCTGGGACTTAATTCATCAACAGTGTACCTGGTGTACTGTGTGGATAACACCCTGCTGTTTTGCCTTCGTTGTTTACATCTAATTAGTGATAGCTTAGCCGTTTTAGGGAATTAGGATCTGCGCTGGCGCTGTAACCCCTCACTTGAGATTCCAGGTCCAGCTCTCTCTGTGCCCCTCCCATCCAAGCATAGAACTGTAGGGACGGGGCTATGGAGACATTGAGCACTGAAGTGGCAGTGAGACGGCAGGAAGCATGACATGGGGAATTCTGTAGAGTCAGCACAGCCACCCATCTAAAAAACCTCACCTGGGGCCAGGCGCAGTGGCTCATGCCCGTCATTCCAGCACTTTGGGAGGCCAAGGTGGGAGGATCGCTTGAAGATCAAAACCAACCTGGACAACAAAGACACCATCTCTACAAAAAAAAAAATTATTTTTATTTTTTTGACACAGCCACTCTATCACCCAGCCTCTGGAGTTCAGTGGCGTGATCTCTGCTCACTGCAACCTCCGCCTCCCAGGTTCAAGCGATTCTCCTGCCTCAGCCTCCCTAATAGCTGGGATTACAGGTGTGCGCTACCACACCTGGCTAATTTTTATATTTTTAGTGGAGACAGGGTTTCACTATCTTCGCCAGGCTAGTCTTGAATTCCTGACCTCAAGTGATCTGCCCGTCTTGGCCTCCCAAAGTGCTGGAATTACAGGCATGAGCCACTGCACCCAGCCCTGCAAAAAAATTTTTTTTAATTATCCGGGCATGGTGGCACATGCCTGTAGTCCCAGCCACCTGGGAAGCCGAGGCAGGAGGATCACTTGAGCTGAGGAGTTGGAGGCTGCAGCGAGCTGTGATCACACCACTGTGCTCCAGCCTGGATGACAGAGTGACACCCCATCTGGAACCATTTTTAAGGACCCCATAAGAGGGACTTTTGCATGGTCTGTCTCTGTTACTGTTTTTTTATTAGCACGATGGTGTCCTTAGGGTCTTATGGACCAAACTGATAAAATCAGTCACAAGTTCCATGCTGTGTTTAATGGTGTCTTTTTTTGGTTTATATATTTTTACTTTTTATCTTAAGTATGTAGAACCAGAAGAGACAGTGCCTTTTTTTGTTTTTGGTTTTGTAGCACTTTTGTTTGTTCATGCTCGTTCTTTATATGAGAGTAGATCCTGAGATGGGTCATTTAATCTCTACCTGTAAGCAGGTACAGTAGACCACCTGGACTATAAACCACCAACCTTGTTCGCTTTCGGGATTTTGAGCTCTAAGGAACCATTTCTTTTTCTTTCTTTTTTTTTTTTTTTTTTTTTTTGAGACAGATTCTTGCTCTGTCACCCAGGCTGGAGTGCAGTGGCGCCATCTAAGCTCACTGCAACCTCCGCCTCCTGGGTTCAAGCAATTCTGCCTCAGCCTCTCAAGTAGCTGGGATTAGAGGCACCTGCCACCAGGCTCAGCTAATTTTTGTATTTTTAGTAGAGATGGAGTTTTGCCATGATGGCCAGGCTGGTCTTGAACTCCTGACCTCAGGTGAGGGGAGGCCTTGGCCTCCCAAAATGTTAGGATCACAGGCTTGGCCGGGACCATTTATTTTTCCGAATGACATCATTTCTTGTCTTTCACTTGAGAAGAGGCAAAAGGAAAAAATGACTTCCTCTTTAGGTTCATGAAATGTTGATTAAAAAATGGAGCAAATTTTTTTTTTTTTTAGACACGGTCTCACCCTGTCGCCCAGGCTGGAGTGCAGTGGCACGATGTCAGCTTACTGCAACCTCCACCTTCTGGGTTCGAGAGATTTTCCTGCCTCAGCCTCTGAGTAGCTGGGATTACAGGTGCCCACCACCATGCCTGGCTAATTTTTGTATTTTTTCGGGTAGAGAACAGGTTTCACCTGTTGGCCAGGCTGGTCTCAAACTTCTGACCTCAAGTGATCTGCTCGCCTTGGCCTCCCAAAGTGCTGGGATGACAGGCATAAGCCACTGCCCCGGTCTTCTTTTTTTGTGTGTGCTGGTTTGTTTTATGGGTAAACTCTTGTCATGGGGGTTTGTTGTACAGATTATTTCATCACTCAGGTACTAAGCCTAGTACCCTTTCCTAAGATGCTAAATGTGCCAGACTGGGATGTACACATTTCAACTTCTACCTAAGGCACCACACAGTCTCCCAAAATCAGAGTTGAAGTCTCTCCCCATTGGCCATCCTGTAGTGTACATTCGATCACTTTAATTTCTTCCAGGCTGCTGCCGCTTTGCAGAATTTCGTCCTGTGGTGTGTTGCAGCCGTTTAGCAAGAACAGGACACATGGCCGGGCATGGTGGCTCACACCTGTAATCCCAGCACTTAGGGAGGCCGAGGTGGGTGGATCACCTGAGGTCGGAAGTTCGAGACCAGGCTGACCAACATAGAGAAACCCTGTCTCTACTAAAAATACAAAAAAGTAGCTGGGTGTGGTGGTGTGTGCCTGTAATCCCAGCTACTCTGGAGGCTGAGGCAGGAGAATCGCTTGAACCCAGGAGGCAGAGGTTGCGGTGACCTGAGATCGCGCCACTGCACTCCAGTCTGGGTAACGAGCAAAACTCTGTCTCAGAAAAAAAATTAAAAAAAAGAACAGGACACAAGCACATGTTTCCATTAAGTTTGTTTCCATGTCCACAGCCTACACTGCAAACTGGGAAGTCCCCTCGTTGGTCATCATGGTGACACATCCTACCCGCTTTCTAAAACAGCTGAGCACACGAACCCAGTGTGCGACATTTAGGAAACCCTGCATTTAGGATGCTAGATCTTGTTCTGAACACAGGCTCGAGGTTTTGGAATGCACTCGAAGGCAGTATTATCCCAACTCTTCAGATAATTTGCAAGTGGTAAAGGCTTCAAGCTGGCCCAGAGCCTATGGCAGAAAGCGGCCACAACCACTCCCAGAGGGCCTGTCAGTCACCAAAGCTGTGAGGGAAGCGATTATCAGGAGGCCTCTGCATGCCCTGATGGCAGGGCTCCCTGAGATCCCAGCTGGAAGAGACTTCACCCCCAACCCCTAAGTTATCTCTGTACCTTTGAGGAGTCCTGCATTTTTGGGTTGGTTGATTTGCTTCATACTTGGTACCTAACTGTTGTGTGTTTTTTTTTTTTTTAATTTATTTTAATTTATTTTTTTGAGACAAAGTCTCACTCTGTTGCCCAGGCTGGAGTGCAATGGTGTGATCTCGACTCCTGCAACCTCTGCCTCCTGGGTTCAAGTGATTCTCCTGTCTCAGCCTCCCAAGTAGCTAGGATTACAGGCATGTGCCACCAGGCCTGGTTAATTTTTGTATTTTTAGTAAAGACGGGGTTTCACGACGTTGGTCAGGCTGGTCTCGAACTCCTGACCTCGTGATCCACCCACCTCAGCTTCCCAAAGTGCTGGGATTACAGGCATGAGCCACCGCGCTGGCCAGTTGGTACCTAACTCTTAACACCTTTCCTTGCCATGAGGTCCGAGCCACCCCCTGCCAACAACCCCTGTTACTCTGGGGAATACATTGTTTTCACACTTTCCCTCCCCACCAGCAGCTCTTTCCAGATTGCAAGGGCGAGCTGGTAGGAAGCTTGCAGATTGTTTCATGCTGCTGTGTAATCTGTGTGCTTGTCACTGGGGTCTGTTCTTCGTGGAGTTGGCACAGTGAAATCTGCATTGAGCCCCGGGGCAGTCATTGTCACTGTACTTTGTGGGCTGGCTTGCCTTCTTTTTTCCTTCTTTAAAAGAAAATGGGAGTTTGTTTCTATACAGATCCTGCTGTCCCTTTTCAGGGAGCTTCAGGGCGTGTTTTTGTTTGTTTTGTTTTTGTTGTTTTAGTACTGCAGGATCTGGAGAATCTCACTTTGGAAAACAATGATTTAGAAAGATCCGTCTTTAGATACTCCCGGGGTCCTTTGAATGGCTGAAGTGTTCCTTAGAGTTTTCTACCCTGTGGGAAAGAACCATTTCTGAAGTTTGTTTGCAATCAGACTTGTAATTTAGCCTTTTCTGTTAGTGATCGAGATGATTATTCCACAAATGACCATGTTGGTGCAGTTGTGTTCCTGGAATCTTTGGCTTGCCGCTCTTCCGAGATTGCTGGAACTTCTTTCCATATACTTGAACTTACATTTGTAATAAATTCTCCATGTTTAAAAGAAATAATGGTCCAGGTGTGGTGGCTCATGCCTGTAATCCCAGCACTTTGGGAAGCCGAGGTGGGAGGATCGCTTGAACCTAGGAGTTCGAAACTGGCTTGACCAACATGGTGAAACCCTGTCTGTACAAAAAAATACAAAAATTAGCAGGGTGGTGGTATGCACCTGAAGTCCCAGCTCCTTGGGAGGCTGAGGTGGAAGGATCACTTGAGCCAAGGAGGCAGAGGTTGCAGTGAGTCATGATTGCACTGCGCTCCAGCCTGGGCAACAGTCAGACCCTGTCTCAAAAAAACAAAAAGGAAAGAAAGAATGGAAACCTCGCAGCCCTCTGTTCTCCCAGGAGGTTGTCATTATCATCATCATCATCACTTTGCATTTTTCTGTGTCCTGCATATCCAGAGAGATCTCTAGGAAACACCCAGTATCATTTTGTTTCCTTGTGTGTAACATACACTGTAAATATCTGTCTTTGTTACTCAGGGGTGTCTTAGATGTTTTTTATGTTAGGATGGAAAGATCGAACTCTCTGTTGCGTGATATCCCATAGTGTGGGTTACAGAGCTGTCTTCTCAGTTCTGTTGTTTCTGTGTTTGGCTTTCACAAAATGATTGTTCCCTTGAGCTTCCTTCTACAAGTGGCCTTGGGCTGTTAAGGAGAACTGTGCGTTCTTATTTTCCCAGCTTGCACTCTACTCGGGCCAATTTGAGGTTTTCTCTTTTCCCCTGCCTTCGCTCCCCTGCTGTTAGGTTTTATCTGCTTATCTGGTCTGGGCTTGGAAATTAGATACCCTTTAGTATAAAGTCAGAGTCCATAGGCTCTGAGAGGATTATCCGGGAAAGCGTGCAGGAATTTTCATGCCCACACATAGTGAGCTCTGTCCCGACTCCTTGGGATTGTCGGGTTTTGTGTTTTGGCTTCCTTCTGGGATCCTGGATCACGTTTTTGGCAGTTGAGGGTGCTGTGTGACCCCGCTGCAGCTGGGTAGAATGTGGCAGCGTTGCATAGAATTTTGAGAGTGAGATCTATAAACACCTGGGTCAGATTTCAAGAAGATAAAGTTCCCCCAGACATCAAGGTCCGTCTGAGTGTTTGGTAAAATAAAAGAGATACTGGTTTTAAATTAAGCCGTAATTGCTCTGTTTTGGTTGTTGGGGATTATTGAGCGGGCTCTTGCCGGTCACATCAAGTCTATTATTCCTGGACTCACAGCAGAGGGGGGAGCATTGTAAAAGGCAGGAGATTGTGCAGCTGAGCTTCAGGTACGGGCAGGACTAAGCAACTGAGTTCCCCGCCGCCCCAAGATCACATTCCATACTATAATCTCTGAACACAAAGGGCAGCCCCTGAGAGCTGCGCCTCTCACATTCTGCAGTTAAATCCCTCAGAGGCGGGCGGGGGGCACACAGCCTTGGCAGGCAGAATGGATGCTGGAAAGACACGCTTTTTCTGCAGCATTTGGTGAGGCTGCCTCTGGCTGGCATTTCTGTTGCCACATTCTCAGTAAAGACTGAGCACCCTGCCCGATCTCGGTGGTGAAGGAGCTCCTGCCAACATGGGCAGCCTTCTCACAACGACTTGGCCTTTCCCTAAAGAAAGGTTTAGTCCAGAAAGGACTCAGTGGGACCCAGGTGGAAAGGCTGTCTTCTTGAGTTCATTCATCTGAAGCTTTTATTCTGTGAGGTCCTAGTCAGGGATTCAGCTTTCCCAGATAAATAAATCACTGTTGGCCAGGTGGGGTGGCTCACGCCTTTAATCCTAGCATTTTGGGAGGCCGAGGCAGGCGGATCACGAGGTCAGGAGATTGAGACCATCCTGGCTAACACGGTGAAACCCCGTCTCTACTAAAAATACAAAAAAATTAGCTAGGCATGGTGGTGGGCGCCTGTAGTCCCAACAACTCAGCAGACTGAGGCAGGAGAATCGCTTGAACCCGGGAGGCAGAGCTTGCAGTGAGCCTAGATTGCACCACTG